AATAAGGAGAAAAGATTGAAATAAAAATGAAGTAATAGGATTGAAGAATACTTTGGCTGCCAGTGTCGAGCCCGACTTTGGCTGGGGAGAAGACTTAAACATGGGTCACGAATGAAGAATCGGGTCAGATTTCTATCCTCGCCTCGCCACCACAAGAGACACAATTTCAGTCGTGGAAGGACTTCGAGGCCTATCTAGCGCTGTACCAAGCGCAGTCACTCCAGGTACATTATTAAGTTATCTGTTGCGTTTGTCTATACCGTCTCATCACGTTTTGTTTGTCTGCTAGATATTTCGAGTGAGAACAAACACTTCAGTGGCTGTACGGAATGCTAGGATAGATGCTCAGGGCTCCGCGGCGACTAAAATCCCGGCCGAGTGGGATCAGTACGCGAAGACGTACGTGTGTACACACCACGGCACATACCGATCGCAAGCCACAAGCAAGCGGCCGCGTCAGGAGACACGGGCCCAAGGATGCTCAGCACAGGTATGCGATTACTATAGTTTTGGTTTGTAGCGAAATAAACCCAATCTGGCATAATCGGGCTCAGTTGGGATGAATCGTGCATCACCGGTGTAAGCTCAGCCACTAACCGTGTCTGTTTGCATTAACTTTGTTACTATTATTTCAGCTGAATGTATGCGTTCAAGAGATTAACAAAGCTGAACACACGTTTGTGCTCAAAGTGACGAAGTGCCGGCTCGAACACAATCACTCACTGAACGAGTATGCATTCAAGAGTCATCCTTCCAACCGGATTACTCTCGATGACAGTGCCTTACGGACGGTGAATGAGCTTCGAAAGGCTGGAGCAAAGAAGACCAGTATTCTGAAGTTTATCAGAGACAATTCAGATAGTAATCCAAAGCCACAGGATGTTCACAACCTCGTGAGCAAGCTGAAAGCTCGTGAAAACAGAAACGGCCCAAGTTCGAGCGCAAAACGATTGAAGAAGTGGATGGCCGAGTTTGGAGATAATGTCGGGAATGTGGGTCGTATATTCGTAGACGATGTCGGGGAAAAAGGTATGTGTATTTAGTGAATCAAATACATTATATTCATAACATCTAACATGTTCTTTGTATTAGAAAATTGCAACATGTATTACATTACAGACTAAACACATGCGATCGGTCTACAAACAATTTCCGGAAGTTCTTCTCATTGACGCGACGCACGGAACAAACCGTTCAAAGTACAAAGTTTTCTCTTTTATGGCTCCAATACCTTTGGAAAAGGCCAATTTGTGCAGCACGCGTTACTACAGAACGAGCGATGGCCGACATTACTGACGGCGCTTGAAGAATTTAAGAGTAACAATCCGGCTTGGACAAAACTACGCTGCGTGTTGATCGACAAGGACTTCACGGAACTATCGGTACTGAAGACTGCTTTCCCTGACGTCACTACCCTGCTCTGCCAATTTCACGTCTTAAAGTATTTGCGGGAGGAAATCGCGTCAGCAGACTACGGTTGTAACACGTGGGAAAAGGATCAGCTACGAGGTCTGATGAACCTGCTTGTATATGCGAAGACCGAGAAAGAGTATATGAAGCACTTTCGGTACATGTTGCACGTGTGCGGAATGGGGCGCCCCCGATCTGGGCAATTGACTTCAGATCCAGTTGGGCAGAATCTGGCACCAGTTGGGCAGAATCTGGCACCAGTTGGGCAGAATATTGTGGCGGTCGGGCAGAATGTGGCGACAGAAGCGCGGAATCATACCACATCCGAGTCTGAACGCTGTGAAACTACGAACACAATAGTGGAACCGTTTGAATCCGTCCGACACCCATTTGTCGCCTATTTCATTAAGAATTGGGACAAATGTCGCGAGCTGTGGTGTGCACACAAGCGCCAAAACACCGTGACGCTTGGTAATAACACCAACAACAGGTTGGAGGCCTCGTGGAAGCAGTTGAAGGAGTGGGTAAACTCTTTTATGGCAGTGGACGAATGCATAGCGTCGATTATGTATTACCAGAGACTTCAAGAGCGACGATTTATGGATGAGGTGTACAAGAAGGTTAATGTCCAGCATGTTGGTTACGATCGCGAAATGACGTTGGTTGCAAACCTCGTCAGTGAACATGCATGCGAGTTAATACACGATCAGTATTGCTACGCACTTGATCGTGCATCTTACGCCTTTTCCGAGAGAGCGCCAGGTGTGTACTTTGTGAAGAGTACATCCCCCGATGAAGACGCCCTCGATGAGGTAGACGCAGAGTACACTATTACGACTCACGACTGGACTTGCTCGTGTCTCTTTATGAGTACACGTTTATTGCCGTGTCGACACGTCTTCTTTCTTAGAAGAGCACTAAACAAGGAGACTGTTATCCCGACTCAACTGGTGCATCAGCGATGGGTCCTGTCGTCTGTACGGTCGTCGATAGAGTTCGAAAACGCCAGTGATGCTCCTACTACTGTGGAATCTTTTGTCGTTCGAAGGGTATTGGTGACCGATGAGCGGCCATGGGATTCGAACCGGAAGTACCGAGAGGCCTTGCCTATTGCTAGTGAAATTTGCGATTCGATGGCTGGTTTAGGCATGGTCCAATATCGTGAAGCAATGACTTATTTAAAGGCCGTCGCCCACCGTTTCAAGGTTGGAGATTTTTCTTCATCGATTAAGATGCCGACAATCAGTGAAGGTACGCGCGACGATGTCTTCGACTCAGATACCGTGGGCGAGGTTGAAGTGGAAGACCCTGAATTATCACAGCCTTCTACGCAGATTACACCTCAGTCTGGCGAGTCTGGCACCCAGTCTGTTGAGTCTGGCATCCAGTCTGAAGAGTCTGGCATCCAGTCTGGAGAGTCTGGTTCGGTGTCGGCCGAGCTTATTTGTCAGACTGGTGTGGAGACTTCAGCTTCTCATGCGACTCTGCAACCGGTCGGAAATGATACATTTGATGTGGCGAGCCCTCCAAGGTCCCGAGGTCGCCCAAAGCAAAGTGCAAAATCCAAGAAAGCAGCTCGCCGCAAAAATGTTTTGATGGTGCAAGAGGATTCAAATTTGTACTCGGATAATCTGAGTTTAGCAACCATACAAGACGCCGTACGCATTGAGTCAACATACGAGACATCTGCCGCAATTGTGTCCAGATTTAAGCTGTTCGATTTCACAAAAAATCCCCGAGCTCCAGTTGCCCACAAGGTAGCAAGACTTCCCGCCTCAAAAAAGATCGTCTCCGCTGAGTCCATCCCCCGAATTTTCCGAAAGGATATCCCTGATAGATGCAGTGCCAAAGTGCTAGCTCTTCAGAAGGCACACAAGGATCAAGTGATCAAAATCTAGGTGAGAAGAACATTGTCGTGGAAATTGTTGGAGTAGGTACCTACTCCACCGAGACGCTTGGTGTCATGAAGAAGTGGCATAAAGCGATGAAAACCATCCAATATGTGGAAAAAGCTATCGTTTGGATTGATACCATCGATTTCGAACTCCAAATGCCCCGATGGCTTTGTGTTGATCTTGATCCTGATACACAATCCAAGATCAAATCTATTCCTTTACTATCGGTGCAGGTACGCAGTTGCATACAGTCAGGCCCCGCAATGGAAATACTAATATCTACTGCTGTGTAATTGCACATAGGCTGAAGCACTCGAACTCGTCGGCAAGTCTGCGTTAGGCGACAGCACGGTCAATAAGCTGATGTTAAAGTTGTTCGCAGCGAGAGAAGACACGATTGCTGTAGACACGTCAATCGCCGGTAACGTCATGAATGGTTTCTTAGCGGTGGAGACTATGAAGGACGTGTTTGCTGGCATGACAAACCAAAAGATTTTGATTCCTGTCATCTGCAACAAGAATCACTGGTGTGCGGTTATGATGGATCTGTCGCTTAAAGAAGTTTTTATCTATGATCCAATGAGCTCAAGCTACGGCGTAAAAGTTCGACCTCTCGCTGAGAAGATGGTAGCATTGCTGCCAGATTTCGCTACAAGAAAATACCGAATTCGACCATACACGAGCGAGCTTGGAGTGCAGGTTGATAGCTACAATTGTGGCATGTATATGCTGTTAGCTTTTGAGATATTTGCCGGTGCTGAAAACCTATATCTGCTAAGTCGGAAGGAGCTACAGTATTTGCGCTATCGGTACCTGTGCATGTGCATTTAATGCAACTAGTTTTTCAATGATTTGGTCTTTTGTTAGTGTGTTTGATGCGTTGAATACCTCCAGGTTATTCCCCCTGAACTTTGTCTTGAGAGTTAGATGCTGACCGTCTTGCGGGGTTCAGTTTCAAAGCCAACACACTGCCATCCGGTTATACGTATACTCCGAAGACACGTCAACTGATGACACGTCCGGCTCTTCCTGAGTCTGGCATATTCGGGCATGCTAATCGGTTGTATTCTGGTGTAATTGTACTGTCTCTTGTTACCCAGTCTGGCTAAATAACGAGTGCCTTAAGGAAAAGTGCATCGCAAGATATGAAGCTCTAATTGCTGGACCAGAGGCACTAAAAAAACCGCTTGCTCTACCGGAAGATGTATCCATCTATTTTAAGCGAGCCAAGAACGACCCTCAGGCAAAGTACGCTAAGTTGACGACTGCAAATTTTCTGTCTACACTGCAATACCGCTGGAAGCTGCTGACCGTAGAGGCCTTACGACAGCTCGGTGATTTTCGGTTTGAAGCTTTTCTGTATGCTCAGCGAGCTGCTCAACCAGAGCAATTTCACCGCGCCACAGCCCGTCGAATTGAGCAGGCACGCATGCAGCGAGTGGCTTACGAGACAGCAAATGCTATACAGTTTGGAGAAATTACCGCGCAGCACCTCGACGTCGTAAATGCTAGGATACCGGAGGCCTCTCCGTTTGAGGTTCCGGCTGATAATACCACAGCACAGGCAATGGAATTAGATCGACAGCGTGAGTTGCTTCAGCTACAGGAGAATGCTGCACGAGACGCAACCCAGTTAAAGTAAGGCTGGGTGGTATGTGGGTGCCTATGGAGGTGGATATTTTGTCGATTCGCCGCGCAATAGGTTTACCGGATCACGACATTTTTTCACGGGGTATATACCATGATTTTACGCCTACACAACCGACTAACGGCGGGATGGACGATGATGACCACGCCGAAGACGAACCGATGTGATAGCTACAGATGCAAACCACTTGGTAGCAGAAAAACATAGTATATTCAACCAATATATCGTTACTCCATAGAATCACTTGTGTGCATTAGCTCATCAAACGTTTGCTGTCGTATCCCGGTCTCCATGTAGCCACAGTGCTGGAAGGTCCCAAAGCATCCTTTCTCCTCGTGGCGTGTACACGCACGCATAGCAACATCCAAAACTCGTTTCGGGTACAAGCGAAAAACTAGATTGGCATACTTTTGTAACCAACGCTTTAGGAGCCCAAAGCAAGGTTCTATAAGATTCAGTTGTGAACAATATGGCGGCAGGAAAATCAGTCGAGCGCCACACTGGTGAATTGCGTCTTGTAACTCAGGATACGCATGGATCTTGGCATTATCCATAATCACAATGGAACGAGGTAATGGCCACGAGTTCAGATGCGGGATGATGTTCTTTACAAATGCAGCGTGAAACCTCTCTCTTGTGAACGTGCCCTCAGTTGATTCCCACGCAAAAAAACCGTGCACATCAAGTGCAGCCAAAATTGAGAGTATTTTGCCCCGGCGAAATGGAAGCTTGACGACTGCACGAGTGTTTCTCTTCGACCAGCCATATCGCCGCTCAGCGTGACGCCCATCTTTTGCTGTCTCGTCCAAAAAAACGAGTTGCTCAGCAAACGAAAAAATAGGGAGCAACTTTGAACGGTAAGCTTCAATTTCTGCCGGCACCGCTTCTCGAGCTGCCTTTGACAGAACTTTTCGGCTGAGATTAAGATCAAAATTGAGGACTCTGCAAATTGTTGCTGTCGAGATCGTCTTAATACTTGGAAAGTTCTTGATAACAAACTCGCGGAGCTCTTCAATGTAGAAAGTCGGGTGTGCGTTAACGTAGGTTTCTACAGCGGATAAAACTTCAGGAGGCCATCGTGGAGTGGTCTGGCGAGAGTGGTCCTCGTTGACAACGCCCTTTTTCATGAAAAGAGCATACCAGCGTCGAAGTGTTCCCTGCTTTGGTCCGAACAGCTCGGACACGTAGGCGGTTGAGATGTTGTAGACGTGCATGAGAGCCACAGCACGCCACCGGAAGTCATCGCCGTAGGTCATCGAGAAGCTGCCAATGTACAAATGACCTGCACGATGAATGGTCTGCTGGTTGAACGCAAGCCACTTCGTTTTGCGGCTAAAAAGTGGCAAAAGTGGCAGTTGTGCTCTAAAGCTGAGCTCCATACACCTCACAAATCCTAATATCATATCATTTTTAATTTTGTATGCTCGCCAAATCGGGACCATTTGCTAAATCGGGCTCCTATCTCGTCTCTGCTTTGCCAAAATGAATGAAAACCACAACAACACTTATTGTATACTTAAGTATTTCAATGCTTTTGTCCTTTTCACCTAGCCTGATGCTTGATTTATAATAAATAGAGGTCGTTTTATTAAATCGAGGTATATAAAAAGTACAAATCGATTGGCTGCTACGGCAGCCAAATCGACCGTTCGGCCACCAAATCCACATCGATATCCTCCTTTTTGCCGTTTTGAAAAGGTAATTCGATCACAGATAAAACAAATCGATGCCTGCGTCTTCCCATCTCATTTTTACACGTGGTTTTATGCTCCGATCATGCCTATAAAACGGATGGACATTTATCTGCAAAGCACAATAATATTTGAACTCCAAAATTTATCCATTTATAGAATTTTATGGGAGTAGCAGATAAATTACCCGTATGACTATCCACCAGTGGACTTGCACATAAGTGCTGGCGAAGTGATGCGTTATATTGACAATCGCATGTTTTTTTCTCAAAAAGATACACGGCTCGTGTTCTTCTGGCTCAATATTATTTTGTTCTTGAAATACCGGTTGTCTATTAAAATTTGTATACATGTACTGACAGCAACACGGTACTTCGAGGAAACCGATATCTGCATGCTCGGCATTTAGAAGTTGTAGCGCGATCGGACGCGGTCGAGGACACGACGCAGCATCCAGCCGTCGCTTGGTGTGATTGTAGTGGAGCTGTACGCCATCATAATCGAGTTGGGGAAGTCCTTGGACGGCTTGGTCTCAAGTCCGTAAAAGTCCGGCAAACCGAAGCCGTGGCCGATCTCGTGGCCGATAAACATAATGTTCTCGTCGTAAAGGTTGTCCATGGTGTCGTTAAGACTCACCTCCTGGCCCCCAGTCGTAGCCAAAGCCGTAAGGGATCTTGTCATTCAGCCAAAACGAGACATCGAACGGCTCACCCGTGCAGGAGCTCGTGTCCGACCATCGGTTGTTCACGTTGTCATAGAAGCGATAGCACTCATCGGGGCACTGCGGTACGCCTTCCGAGTCGACGCTGCCCTCGTAGACAGGGCCAAGCGAGTCGTCGGTCCATTCGAGCTGCGCCTTGTCCTTGGTAGCCCACCCCACCATGTTGACCTTGAGCTTCTTGAACGGCCAGCAGTTGTAGCCTGA